CTGTTCCAAATAAAATGTTAGAATAAAAGTTATAATCGATTGAAAGGTTTAGAACCACAACTGCAATTATTTCAAAATATAATCGAGGCAGTTAACAGGATAGATGACGAAAAAATCCTAGACAGCCTAGCCATGTTGAAATAATTTACTTTGAAAAATCACTGCTAGCTAAAAATAGTCATTGCAACAAAGATTGCATCATATAGTTATTTGAGTTATGTTATAAAGGAGTTGAAACGAGAGATAATCATGTTAATTTATAAAATGTAAGAAATCTTCGAGCAAGAGAGAAAATGACAAGTTGAACAAGATCAACTGAATACAACCAAAGACTAAGCAAAATTTACCATTGCTTCCCATATAATGAGATTAGAGCACTCGAGAACTCCAATTGCCACATTCATGGACTACAGTTAGTTTTCTATGACCTTAAGTTGACGTCACCTTTTTCCCTTCTTCTTTAGGACAACTTTTTAGTTGAATCCACATCATTAGTAATGCCATGCATGTCCTCAGAAGTAGAGTTTTCAGAAGCAGTGATACCAGTTGAATATTTTTTTATTCTCAAAGAGATGAGAATGCTTGATAAGATCCCAAGAAGAGGAAAGACATATGACCAGATCTGGGATCTCTGTGAGCCAGACGCTGAAGCTACAGCAGTACTTGCAAGGCTGCCAATAGAAGTATTTTGCAAGATCATGGGTAGGCAGCCAATTGCTGTTGGAAGCAAAAAATCCACAAGAAACGAAACCTCTGTTGCAGCCAATGCATAGTTAATTACGTAGGATGGCACAGGTGAGAAACGGGCAAGAAGAACAAATCTCCATCCATCTCGCTCCACTCCCTTGGAAAGCAGGTGAAAGTACTTATTTCTCTGAGTCCATTTCGCTGCAGAGCTAGAACTTCTGAAGATAAGCCTGCCAAAGAAACACAGATGATTCAGATAAGCAGGATACAGTGTGTACACACATTAACACATGCATGGGTTGACAGATAATAAGTAACTGCGTGGGGGTAAGAGCGAGAGAGGGAATAATGCCTCGTATTTTAGATAAAGGAGTACAAGGTTATCATCAATAGATGGGGGGAGGGGTGAAATATTTGATCCCCTTTTAAAGAAGAAAAGGGGGGAAAAATGTTTATCATCAACAGATGGTATTAAAAATTCACTCATCACATACTTCCAATAGATTGTAGTCGACCTTCGAACTTAAGTTTTCTTCGACATATTGACCTATATTAGAATATATCACCGACGACCAATGGCACTTAAGACAACCAGACAACCCAAACAAAATTCAAATTCTCAGATCGTCTTGGAGAGTAAACAAAGAAAAAGACAGCCCATCCCAAACAGAAAAAACTAAACATAGCATTATTCAAACTGCAGAAGAATAATCTCTCAAAGACAAACAACAGCCATGGAAAAAACTGCATACCATCCAAAGTGTAGAAGTGATCAGATTGAAAAAGGATCACAATTATCAACTCATAAATCAAAGAGTAAACTGATGGAGATCCAATTAGATACTCCCTTGAAGACTTACCAAGATTGGACACTTATTTTACGAAGAAAATTATTAAATTATGTTGAGAGATTTTCTTTTATTTACCTTTGTTAGTTCAGCCTCGTTTGGGAAGAATTTATAAACGGTTTAATTTTTAAATAGATAGAAATGAATGATGGAGTTCAAAATGAAGTTTGACATTTATAAATTAGCCAAATGGAGGCTTAATAGTGTTGCTTATTTACGAGACGTTCAACTGTAAGTACAAGTAGGATTTACATTGTAACACAGACTTTGATTATTGAATAAAAACTATTCTCTCTCTCTCTCTCTCTCACACCTTTTTCTTTCCACTTCTTTCTCTCTGTTCTCTCCCTTTTCTCTTCTTCGCCTTCTCCTACAATTCTAGTTCTTGTTAAGAGCCTCTGTTGTCAAATACCTTGCCTTACTATCCCCACTGACATCAAAATTGACTTATTAATAGAACATATAACTGCAAAAGAAATGTGAAATATTTTTACGCCTAATCTCACCACAAAAATGTTGAATTCAAAATGGGAAAGGTAATTTAACAGGTAAAAATGCAAAGCATAGAAAACTAAGAACATAAATCAGCTATTGTCCTCATTAATCTTTCCAAACCCACTATTAAACAGAATGAAAAATCGTATTCAGATTTCACATGTAGGGTCGTTCTTTCTTGGTTACAATTGTCACTTCATTCTTTGTGGGCAGGCATAACAAGATTATAATGTTATTTGTATACACTATCCAAGCTTTGTACTAAAGAAGCTGCTTGGAAGGTCGAGTTTCAACTTGATTTTGTTCACAGCTTGAGTTGGTCAAAGCAAATATTGGACAAAGTGAGCATACATTTCACACCCTGAACTCTGAGCAGAGCATAAACATTCTTGCGGTTAGCGAGCCAAGCTTGAGCAGTTGTACATTTGGTGCCGAAGAGCTCTTTATATCCCCCAAGATCTGAAGAAAAATTGTGGACATGCATATTTAGAATGGTAGGTGGGATGAACTATGTCTTAGAAAATAGTGCTAATGGGTACAGAGGCAGAGGTGTTCCAAATTAAGAGATTTCAGTTCAGCATAATGGTCAGTACACTGCAATGGGAAGGATGCAAAAAAGAAGTGGAGATTCTTCAAAAGTTGAGATTGCCATGTGTCAAAACAATAAGCTGCATGCTGGTTCCGCTGCCAATTACTAGACACAACGGACAGGGAAGACCATTTAAAGAAAATGTGAACATCACAATACATTATGTCGTCTTTTTCTTAAATTATCATCAAAGACGAAGAGAGGGGGCTGGTGATACGTGCCCCTTCCATAATTCTGGGTTTTTAAAATGTAATTAGGAGAGAAAATAAAATCGTTATTTTATTCATAAGGGAAAGATACACACACATATTGGGAATTCTATATTAGGAAGGATCCTTATTAGGGATCCCTATAATTGAGGAAATATATATTCTGTGATCTGTACATTCTAAAAAACTCTCCTCCCTCAAGTTGAAACATAAATATTAATCATGCCCCACTTGTTACAAATATAGTCTACTCGAATCCTATTTAAAGCCTTTGTGAAAATATTCCCTAGTTATTCTCCAATTTTCACATATCCTGTAGAAATTAAATTTTGTTATACCTTCTTACGAACGAAATGACAATCAATCTTAATATACTTAGTTTGTTCATGAAATAGAGGATTAGAAGCAATATGAAAAGCAGCTTGATTGTCATGCCACAACTTTGTTGATATTGAAACCTTAAGACCAACTTCAGTTAAGAGCTGATATATCCCACATTATCTCACACACAGATTGTGCCATAGCTCTATATTCTGATTTTGCACTCGATCGGACACAACATTTTACTTCTTATTTTTCCACGAAAACAAATTTTCTCCAACAAAAACGCAGTACTAATAGTGGATCTTCGGTCAATCTTGAAACTTGTCCAATTTGCATCTAAGAATCATTCAATGTGGTTATGTCCATGATTTCTGTAAAGTATCTCACATCCAGGAGCTCCTTTTAGATAACACAAGTTCTGTTCTAAAGCTGCCTAATGGTGAACTGTTGGGGAAGACATGAATTGATTTACAATTCTGACAGGATACGCAATATAAGGACGAGTTACTGTAAGATAGTTCAATTTCCCAACCAGTTTTCTATACTTATCAGGATCTTCAAATAAGTCACCATCTTTGGTAAGTTGCAAGTTAGGAAGTATTGAAACATTGCTTGGCTTAGCTCCTAGCTTTCATGTCTCAGTTAACAAGTTAAGCACATATTTTCTTTCAGATAAGAGAATGCTTTTCTTACTTCTTATCACCTCAACTCCCAAGAAATACTTCAACACTCCTAAGTCTTTCGTGTGAAATTGGGTGTGAAGAAAGAACTTTAGACTTGAAATTCCCATAGTATCACTGCAAGTAATAACAATCTTATCAACATACACAACAAGGAGAATAATGCCAAATTCAAACTGTTTGTAAAAGACTGAGTGGTTAGACTTGCTCTTTTGCATTCCAAACTTTTCCATTGCCTGACTGAATTTTCCAAACTACGCACGTGGACTCTATTTCAAACTATATAAGGACTTTCAAAGATGACACACTTTCCCATACTCTCCTAAGCAACAAATCCAGGTGGTTGCTCCATATGGACCTCTTCCTCGAGATCACCATGTAAGAAAGTATTTTTTATGCCTAATTGATGTAAAGGCCAATTATGTGTAGCTGCCATAGAAATGAACAAGCAAATCGATGTTAATTTAGTTACAGGAGAGAAAGTGTCAGAGTAATCCACACCATAAGTTTTGGGCATAGTCTTTAGCCACAAGACGAGCTTTAAGTCTAGCCATTTATTCATCAGGATTGATTTTAACTGCAAACATCCATTTGCATCCTATAGATTTTTTTCCTGCAGGTAAATTTACTAAATCCCAAGTACCATTAGCATCTAAAGTGTTAAATCTCCTATATCATAACATGATGCCAACCAATATGGAATAAAGCTTCATGAACATTTTTCGAAAGAGTCACATAGTCTATCGAGACGACAAAAGAGAAAGAAGAAGAGGACAAATGATCATAAGAAACAAAGGATGCAATAGGATAATTACACTGACGTTTACCTTTGCAAATAGTGATAGGTAGATCAAGATCATCGGACACTGGATCTGATGTCAAAGAAGAGCCAGGTGCCGAACATTCATCAGGAAGGTTTCGTCGTCTGGAATACACCTGGCCAATAGGTGATGGTGGTGTGGGAACAACAGGTGTCTAGTAAGTGACACGATAAACCAACAGATCATCATCATCATCTCCCTCATCGAAAGAAGTAGAAGATGTAGGAAAGAAGAGAATATGTTCCGAAAAGGTAACATCAGCTGACACAAGATACTTGTTAAGGCTTGGACAATAACACCGATACTCTTTTTATAGACGAAAGTGACACCAAAAAATGCATTTTAAGAATTTGGGATTTAATTTTAAGAGAGATGTCCCAACTAACAATGTGCTTTAAAACGAGTTAGGACACCTAAACACGCAATGGACTTGGGCATCTCTAGAATATAGAGATTGCCTGATTCATGTCCTTTACCAATATTCTTCTTCGTTATAAGTTCCTGAAAAAGATAATAATCAGGAAAAAATGAGATACAACAGTTTAAGGTCCGGGTAAGTTTGTTCACGGGCATTAAATTTAAAAAAAAAAAAATTGTGATAGACTTAAAATAGAGGATAAGGAGATATTAGGAGTTGAACTAATAGTTCCAGAATCGAGAACAGAAGTAGAACCATCAGCTAAAGTGACATTGGAAGGAGATATATGCGCCTGAAAGGTGGAGAAAAGACTAGGATTACTCGTCATATGATTTGTGGCACCAGAATCAATGACCCATTTTAAGAAAGAGGAGAGAAGACATGCATTAGGTTTACCTGTCTTAACAATGGCAGCAGTAGGATGAGATTAATTTTTTAATCCTTTTTGGTACCGAGTGAATTTGCCAAATTCATCTGCAGAAACTGTAATGGTCTGCTCAGAGGAAGAGATGGGTATAGTAGTAGTTGCAACATGAGCTGAGTGAGACTTTTGAGATTTATTGTGCAATTTTCGGTACCAATATTTGGTATGACCCTACTCATGACAATAGAAGCAGACAACTCCTTCATTCTAACTTCGATTGACTCGACTACCTGTATTCCCACCTCTTGTATTATCTCTACTACTGCGACTGTTAAGAGCACTAGAAGACTAAAGAGATGAAACAACAGAAACACTAGTATATGTGCGAAGTACTCCAGTAAACGTTTTTTCAAAGATGAAATCTCAACACCAGAGATGATCTGGGATTTGGTAGTCTCAAACTTAGATTTAAGACTAGCTAGAAAACTCATTACAGTCATTTGCTCTTACTAAGCTTGCTGAACTTTCACATCAAGACTAAAAGGTAGCAAGATATTCAATTCTTCATGGGTTTTCTTGAAATTTATAAAATAATCCTGAAGAGAATTATCCTATTGTTTAGCACGGTAAAAACCTTTACAACCTTCATAAATACGTGACACATTCCCTTTCCCGAAGTACATGAATTCTAAAATTTCCATTAATTCCTTAACACACTCGCAGTGATTAATCAAGCTATCTTTGTATCAATGGAATTACAGACTTGTAAGAATAGTTCGGCATCATCTCTTAGCCATGTCTGGCGTATTATCCATTAGTGGATTTTCAGTAAGATGATTGTCCATAGAAATACTCCGTAGATAAATTCGAACCATCTAACACCAATCTAAATAATTTGGACCAACTAGCTTATGCTCCGTGATTTTGGACATTACTGGAATGAAATCAGTTATAATTACATTCTTTTCCTTATCAACCATAGAAACAAACCACAGGATCCAAATAATAAATTAAGAAAAATATTTTCTCAAATCAAACAAATGACAGCCCAAAATAATAGGCCTAAACAACCTAAACCCAGCAAACAAACAAATCAATTCACGAGGGGGTTAAACACATGTAACCAAAAATAACAACCCAATCAGCCCAATACCACAGCCCAATACAAAGCTAATAAAAAAAGATGATGGCCCAAAGCAGTGAACGACACTTCAATCCAACCCGAGATCACGTAAAGGCACTGGAGAAGAAGACCCACGTCGAGCCAACTCATAGGCGACTGGAGAAGAAGACCCACTTTCGACGAAGCTCACGATTTAGGAAATCCACTGATCGCTAAAAATAATTGGTCCGGCAAGAGACCAGCCTTAGATATGCCAAAAATAAGAGCGCACCTTTCGACAACACTAGAAACGACGACTGACGACCATAGGCCATCCCAAGTAAGACAATCAAAAGACCGATTACTTAACTCTGACCTCGATGACCATCAATCAATTGCTGAAACACAAGGGGCGAAGATGACACTACGACAATGAAAACAGAAATCAAGTGCTATCACCCAACAACTTAGTCTTAAGGAAGAAAGTTAGGGCTCTGATACCATGTAATTATGAGAGAAAATAAAATCGTTATTCTATCATAAGTAAAGATACGTACGTACGTACGTACATACGTACATACATACATACATACATATATATACATATATACACACACACACACACACACATTGGGAATTCTATATTAGGAAGTATCCTTATTAGGGATCTCTATAATTAAGGAAATGTATATTCTATAATCTGTACATTCTATAGCATAAAATAATTTTTTACAAAAAAAAAAAAATTGTAAAATTAAAACTTCACTTTAATACGAACAGCATTTCATTTCCTGAACCATTTTCTTTTGAACAAAAATCTCATCAAATTTGGTTGAACGCTCGATCCTGTATGAAGAAAGTTGTGAAAAATGTTCGGAGGAGACAACTCTAGTCATGGCAGTGGGTTTTTCAACTTTTTTAGTAAACTTGAACACAATTGTGAGTTCCTTCACTTACGGGGAATGAATTTTTGTATTTGTTTACTTTATGTTAGTATTTATGTGCATGGGTAAATTATACGATTTTCATTTATTTCTCGAATCTTTTCGATTTTCTGAGTTCCACGTCTTGTTTAAAATAAAAAATTGTTGGCCCTCCTTTTCTGTTTTCTTCACTATACTATTTGTATTATTATGCACAATTAGCTCAAAAGTTGATTATTCTTATCAAAGTTTCTAAATGAAGTACGTAGCTTTATTGGTCTATCAAATGTTTCTCTCTCAATCAGCTACCAGCACACAGCCAACCATCATAATGCCGTCAACCACAGTAGCACCTCTCAAACCAAAAATTGTGCCAGTGATTATCATTCTCTTTTATGATTAGTTTGTCATCTCAAAACTCAAGAATGAGCAAACAATGTTTCTTATCATTTATCCTGCAAGTTCTAAGACTCTTCCCTTGTAAACTAAAGATTATTATGAGTAATGTCAAAATCTAAGAGAAAACCAATGATGCTTATCTATAAACTATATTCAGGCACTCATCAAATGTATAAAAATAACAATTGGTCTCTGAATGGGAAAGATGGAAAAAGCGGGGTTGGTTGGTGTGTTGATCTATGATTCTCTTCCAATCTAAGATGGATATTAGTATATGGAGGCAAGAAATGGAGGGTGAGATGACACATTCATAGAATTCCTCCCTGATACCATAATATATCTTCGCTTAAATCTCTCATGCTAAAGAACCCTGTTCAATTGATAATTCTATGCCGAATCTGACATCAAGTTTTTAATGGACTCGTGCTTGTCACATTGATATGGTTTGCTGCCATAACCAACAAGTTCATGCAAACATAGGTTAAGAATACAAATATATACTCAAAGTTTCGGTTGAATTTCTCGAACTTGTAATGACAACGATGCTTCGAAACACAATGCAAGAAATGAAACTTCAATTCATCAGCAAAAGGGGATGGATGAAATTATCAGCCGGTAATACCATATTCAAACACAGTGGAGCTTACAGTTAGAACTTACACAATAGAAATTACAAGTAATTTTTGAGAACAGTTGCCAGTTTGGACAATTTTTGAGGGAAATAGAAGGCTGGGAACATCACAGCAGAGGAAGTTCAGTTCATGTACAATATTGGTCATTGCTGATGGCATGGTTCTAGTTTGTGGAGGAGATTTACAATCAATCTGATGGAAGTAATGAGCTATGAAGTTGGAAGAATCAAGACAAGCCTAAGAGAGAGCATGAAAATGTGTTTATCGTAGAAAAAGTGCAGTGACTCTTCCTTGCAGGGATTACTAAAATTCACTAAACCCATTATGGATATGTGAAACGTGACTCTTCAAATGAAATTTTCCATGATTGATTACATGAGTAGAGGCTGGAAGTCTGTTATCAATCAGCAATGAAGCTTTGGAAGATATAATTTGGTTTAAGTGAGGAGAAGAAGGAAAACATGAAAATTTAGAATCAGTAATATACAATAATGGAAATTGTTAACCCTGATACGTTGAAAACAATGAAGATCACATGACAGAATTTCTATACCTTGGGAGCATTTTAAGATATACCTGTACTAGAAAATTCTCTAGCAGAATTTCAAAATAAAGTAAACTGAGCACTGTCCATATTTTAGTTATCCCCGATAAGATGTTAGTAGATCTTCCCTTTGATTCCCACAACTATACAATCAGAAGTTCTCCTACCTTTCATAAATTCACTGACAATGCTACCAACTAGACAAGTGGAATGTGATTTTGAACAAACTATTAACAAATCACTCCAAAACGGTCATAGATTTTCAAGAAGGATTAACGCTAGCCTAGATCAATTTGTTCCCGAATTTCTAATGATCCCAATTGAGAAACCTTAACATTACTCAGTTTTCTTTTCTGACTAGGTAATTCTAAGTAATTCCATTTTTCATTCGAAGTATTCCAGCACTTTTTGTCTCAGGAACGTTATACAACCAAATATTGATAGTCAGAAACAGAAACAGAAATGAAAACTGCAATGTTTAATAGATTGCCTATACGAATACACCTATTAGAAAGAAAAGATGAACAGGACCCATGATTAGTGAAAGAGAAATAAAAGAGAAGAAAGGACGTGCCTGCCGATCCAAAAGGAGAGGGAGGCCCCAAGAATCTTGGCAGAGAAGACGCATAGCAGTGCGGGCAAAAATCCGAACAGCACGGAAGCCCCGGCCTCGAAGAAGACGGCGTATGGCAGGCAAAGCGCCAATGTCAGAGTGTGGACTCCGACGTATGCAGGGATAGCCCAGTAACCCAGTCGATCGGTCATGTCACTCAACCATTTCATCAGGGCCGAGTGTTTGCTTCTGTCCCAACCCAGCTGATTCCCCAACCGAGTCCTCATCATAACCACACCCAATACTGCAACCACCACAACCACCAAGCCCCATCTTCTACCCATTTCTCTTCTTCTCTTTATCTTTATTTTTATCCCTCTTTTCGTGTGAGTTTGAAACTCTTTGGATTCGCAGACACAATTCAGATAGCAATTTCTCCAGCGAGAATGAGATGAAGAAATGGAGTTTGCTCGACTCCGCAAACGACTGAGGAGGGGAAATTTGACATTGACCCAGTCAGTTGCCCATATTTGCAAGGGAAATGCCATGGGTACGCACACAACCTTCACATGGAGGTGGCCCACGTGTAATAAAGTATTCCTAAGCGCTCACGTGTAAACACGCAACATTTTCCTATGGGGAATTTACACAAATGTCACTAAATATAAAAATGCACAAAAAATTGTCTTGCACAATTTTTTTGCAAAAATGTTACTCCCCCCCCCTCCTCCCAAAATATCCATATTACCCTTTGACACCTTTTTAGGAGCAATAAATGCTTGATTTGAATGTTATTAATGATGTGATGTGATTATTTATTTATCTTTATTGTTAATATTGAAAAAATGAATATTATATTGTATAATATGAATTTTTGATTAAAAAAATGGGTGAAATGTGTACAAAGAGCACACACAAGTAAGAGTTGAAATAGCTTCTTCTTCTTCATCATCTCCCTTTCATTATCAACAAGGCATGAAAGAAAGCTATTGATCAATTTCAAAGGTGAGGTAGTAAAAAAGAAATTTTTACATGTCATACTTGAGTACTTTAAATATTCAATAAAACATGGTCAGAATTAATTGTCCATATTTCATCTCTTATTCATTGGTTTTTTATTCTTGGTATATTTTAGAAAGGGAAGAAATACCAATATTCTCAAGAAAATGTGAATCATTTCATATGTAATTCTATATTTAATGAAACATTGAATTATACTTTCTTTGTGTGTGGGGATATCAGTTGAAGTTGAAGTTGAAGTTGTAGTTGAGAATTGATTATGACCATTAATGTGTTGCAATAAATTCCTGAAACAGTAAAATACATTTTTTTGCATGCTCCCCGAAACTTATGTCGGTCAAGTGTTGAGCAGTTTCGTAGAAATTGTCGGGTTAGACATTTGAACTGTCGAAATCAACATTTAGTAACTGTCGGGATGGGCAGAGAATTCAATCGTCGATTTTGACACCTGAAAAGCTCTCTTTTTGGTATTACATAGATCAAAGTATTGTAATGAGCCAATTTGACTGTATTAAATCTTTCGACAAAAATATGCAGAATTATGACTTTTGTACTCCCAACTTTTCAGGTATGGCTCAGGATTTGAGATTCATCGTGTCGCATGGGGGGAACTTTGTTCGCGTGGATGACGAATGGAAGTGGAGAGGGGACAAAACGACTTCCATTTTAGCGCCGAAAAATATTACCGTAACAGAACTTGTATTAAGATTGAAGGAGAAACTTGGTATTGTTGAACCCCGCAATGAAATTGAGTTGAAGTTCAAAATCCCGAATTTGAATATACCTCCGGCAGAGAGGACCTAAATTGGTACATATCTATTTATAAAGAGACTGCACTCTGCGTCACTATTATGGAAATTGAGGTCCCCAGTGTTGACATGGCGAGGGAAGGAAACTGTGTAGAGAATCGGTTCAGCCTAACGGAATGTCCCCAGACTTTAAGAAATGGTGAGGTCAATCATGAGCATAGTGGGTTGAACAATGAAGCACCCGCACATTCAATTGACCATATCGAGGCTGCAGCATCCGTTGAGCACTTAGAGAACTTGTTACATGGTACGAATAATGCTATTATTGCTGAAATTGACCAACCTGTGTCATCACATTCCATGAGTTTAGGCACAGATGAGTGGATGGCAGCCGTCGTTCTCGTCGAAAAGCAAATATTCTTTAGCAAGAAACAATTGTACTCAAAAATTCGTGTGCTTGCTTTGCAAGAGAAGTTTCAATTTCGGGTGAGTAGGTCAAGCATGAAAATGTTAACCGTTGTATGTGTGGATGATAATTGCAAGTGGATGCTACGTGCTTCTACTGTCAAGCAATCTGCAATCTTCATGATCCGTAAATTCATCAACGTGCACACATGTTCCCTTGATTTTCGTCGTAACGCACATCGACATGTCACTAGTTCTGTAATTGCCGAGCATATTGTAGGCAAACTGGATACTCCAGGTCGATCGTATGACCCTACCGCTATTGCACGTGATATGGAACGTGAGTTCGGTGTGAAAATCAGTTACAACAAAGCTCGTAGGGAAAAGCTTCATGCCTTAACTATGCTACACGGTACACTGAAAGCCAGTTTTCAGAAATTGTCTTCATACTGCCACGTCGTAGGAGAGAGTAACCCAGGGACAGTAACCCACATAGAACTCGATTCTCAAAATAGATTTCATTACTTCTTCCTAGCTTTCGGTGCAAGCATTCGTGGTTACACGCAGTACTTGAGACCCGTTATTTGTGTTGATGGCAGTCATCTGAAGGGTCCATACAAAGGAACACTTCTACTGGCAACTGCTCAAGATGGTAACAAACAGATATATCCGTTAGCATGGGGGATCGTGGATGCTGAAACCAATAAATCCTAGAAGTGGTTTATGTCCAACTTGAAAGAGCTTATAGGGGACTCCGAAGACCTCGTATTTGTTTCAAACAGAAAAAAGAGCATTGACAAAGCTATTACTCAGTTGTTTCCGTTGTCTTACCATGGTTGTTTATCTGGCATCTCGAAAAGAACCTCATACAGCGATACAGCAACGCAAGTGCAATACTTCTATTCAAACGAGCTGCTACGACATATCGGGTTGAGGACTTTGAAAGACTCATGGGACAGATTCGCAGGGTGAGCACAAGAGCGCACGGGTACTTAGAGCGTGCAGGTTATTCATTTTGGTCCCGAGCACTATTTATTGGCCACCGTTACAACATCATGACGAACAACAACGCTGAGTCTCTGAACTCCATGTTGAGAGAAGCCCGTTCTTTACCGATAACTTGCTTGGTCGAACACATTCGGAGTACTTTGCAAAAGTGGTTTTATGAATGTCAGAAAAATGCGACCGATTGCAGTACAGTATTGACGCCGAGGATGGAAAATGAGTTACGGATGACATTTGAAACTGGAACTAGGCTTCGAGCCCAGTTGTTGACAAACAACTTAACTCAGGTTGGAATATCCAACGACGTGGACATAGTTGACTTTTCCGAAGACACCTGCACGTGTCGTGAGTTCCAACTAAATCGTATGCCATGTGCTCATGCAACTCGTGCTGCTTGCTTCAAAGGGAAGTCATTGTATGACCTTTGCTCTCCTTATTACACATCTGAATACTGGATGGGTGCCTATAGCAAAGCTATATATCCTGTTGGATGTGAAGCGGACTGAGTTGTTCTCAGTTTAATTACATCTACTCCTATTTTGCCACCACTCGTACGTCGCCCTCCAGGTAGACCACCGATCCGACGTAAGCGTTCAAGACACGAGTCTGCATGGTCGAGCAGGAAATGCACTCGTTGTGGTCGTCTTGGTCATAATCGGAGCACATGTTCGAACCCTAATATATCACAAGTTCCCTAAACGTTGTTAGTGCAATCGACGTTGTATGTTCAATGTTCCTTAGTGCCCTGCACCTTACAAAGTTATGTTATAAATAGGCAAATGGAATTCTAAATTGGGACGTTGTCCTTCTCTTGTTGGACTGCTCGCATCATGAACCTCATTCAAAATTTTTAAGTTCAATATTCATGAAATATATTATAATTTCTAAAATCGTCCACCACGGAAAGAAATCAGCTCTAAATAAATAGCATTTCATAACATCCAGCAAACGTGGTGCAAAATATAGATGTAGGTTAATTTGTTGATCCCGACAGATAGAAATCTGTAATTCTCGACAGTTCGACCGGACTGGACTGGACTATACACAAAATACACTACCCGGATTACGGCGAAGGGAAATGTTCATGCAGACATTTTCGTTCTGTGTTAACCAACTGCATCCCTACAAAAGAGTGGACTGTACACTACTAATTCACTACACTCCACGGCCGACATTTCACTTGTCGTCGACAACCGAACTTGCTCTCCCCCTGTCTTCACCTGACTTGTCAGATGAGATGATAATGATCTCGTTCTCTGGGACGTACGCCAGCCCATCGTCGTCCTCGGAATCCCTCTCGTAGGCAGCGTCGACCGAGAGCACAGCATCAAGCACATCGTTCTGTGACAAACCATCGTCACTCCCTACATCTTCCAAGTTCGGGAAGGGAACAGGGGAAATGGGTCTCCTACCCATACGAAGCTCAATTTCGTCATCGTCTGACGAAATGTAGATTGAAAATAATGGAGAGGAACCGGGAACCAGCATCGGCTCATCCATGTTGAACGGTTCAGTGCTTCCTGTGGACGAACTCATTATGCTTATGTAGTAAAGTATTGATGAAACGAAATCTGTCTTTGAGAGCCTCAAATTCTCACAATGATATTCCACTAAGCTGTCTAGAAGTGTGAACAATGTGACACTGTATTTATAAGCAAGTTGAAGAGGAAATGCAATTATGGTCATCATCTACCCAACCACCAAGTCCAATCTCCTTGTTAATTTGAAAAGCAACTGGTGTGATGGTTCAATAAATTTATGGTACTGTTATCCCCCATTTCCCCATAATTAGTAGGACAATTAACACTCTTTATTATCTTTGTATAATTCAGTACATATACATTCCTGCACCTGAAATGCCTCTGTGCAAAGTATTCCCCAGCAATTGTGGCATCTTTGTAATTGTAGTGCTTCAAAAAAATGGGATTACATTATATTCACACACGTGGTATACCGAGTACAGTTCTTATCAAATATTTTGAAAAGTGGTTGTAAGTTTGTATAGATGCTTGATAATAATGCCAATTTAACAACGATGTCAACATTGAGCATAGAAGAGAAGAAATTCTGTAGTTATTATAAAAATAAAAATTTTAATCACTATAATGTCCATCTTCTACACTAGATTGCAGTTTAGTTCCCCTTTTACATGGGTGGACATTCTTGGTGCCATCTAATTGATGTTCTAACCTGGAAACAAGGCGTACTTTAACGAGAATGCAAAGATCATTTTCTAAATTTCAGAAAAATGCTTATCATGTCAATTTAGGTTCCGACTGTTCACGTAATATAAGACATAAACAAGGTATCAGACTATGTCATAACTTAAGGCAAGGCAAAATGTGGGACGCTTGTCAAAATTCCAACGCACATGTCAAATGAAAATGTAAAGCGTTAATGTTAGAAGAAACGTAAAAGCAAGAGATTAATTGTTCAAGTCTACTACGTTCACCATCTGCACGCCTCGGCAGGTAAGCAAAAACCAAAAACAACCCCATCGTCCTGCCATCACGCCACTTCATTCACAATTACTTCTTCAATGTCTTTCCCCTCCCCCTCGTGTACGGAGTCCTCGTCGCAGGAGCGGGACGTCGTAGCCGGGCGGAGCGCCGTCTGGTCGTAGAAACTCGACCTCTTCCTTCTAGTACAGCCGCGAGAATAGGTACGTCAGCGACGAGAACAGGTACGGTAGCGACAATACCTTCATAACAATGGAAGGGGCCCAGTGAGTTACCGTCAATGACATTCACTAACCATACGTATTATACACAGTAGTAATGCATGCAATGAACTTACCTTCGCCATCTGTGACGTTGCAACCGTCAATCTCTGCATCGCTGACCGCGGTCGCATCTGAGGGCTCTGTGGCAGCTCCGTCTTATTAACAGAAAATACGTAAATGCATAGCATTCGACGAAACATTAGGAACCAAATGCAATGACATGAAATTGTGAAAAGTGCTTGTAATGGACGCAATACCTTCCTGATTGTAAATTGGAGTGGGCAACGGCTCGTGCTCGACGTTTGGGCATGGTGCAATGTCAGCTCCCTTTATTGACAACAACAGTAAAATAATGTGAGCACATTTTTTATTTCATGTTTCGCAACATGCGTACTCGATGAAATAATATGTTTCGAATTGTGCATGAAATACCCACTTACCTAGCAAGTCTTCAGTTCCGACAAGCAGCTCCCCTTCATCCCTGCATGGAGGACTGTATGCTCCGACTGTGGAAAGCAACAGTGACGTTATGAGAGCACATTACATCTCCGAACTCAAGCATCGTACAATCACCAGGCAATAACGTGTAGAATCACTCGTTAATAATGCACGTAGCTGGAGGCTGTGAACGTCCTGTGTCAACTCCCAATTCAATTGGCGTGGGCAATAGGTCTGTGCCTCGTCCATGTACATCTATATCCCAATTGTAACAAGAAAAAAATGACTAACCTTGTGGTCGATTTCCAAAAATATAACCGAATAGCACACGTTTGATTCATACCTTGTGGGAAACAACTTGAAGGACCGGGCTCGAAAATGGCGCCCGTTGAGCACGGAGCGATGGTAGGGGGATGTGGGGCCACCTGGGCAGCAATGAACTCACGGAGTCTTGTACATTCAAATGTCACGTGCTGTTCAATTTCAAGCCTCACAGTCCGGAGTCGCATCTCGAAGAGGATTCTTTGGTCGAGTAGCAGCTCCTCGACTTCCCCTTTCGTCAAGCTGGAAGCAGATGTTCGAACTGGCAGTGAGTTCATCGTACGCCCTCGCTCTGGTGAACGAATCGGTGCCCCTGGAGGGGAGGAAGAGTCACTGGTATCCTCACTGTTGTTGCCTTCGCTATCACTTCCCGACTCCCCATTGCTCTCATCATCTCCAGATGTCTCCCCATCACCACTTCGTCCACTACGGACTCAGTCCTCCAAATCTTGACCTCCCGATTGTCCACCAACTCCACTTTCGACGTGTAAGGAATGAATCTGCGGCGTAACCACATTCCTCAAAATGTCATCAAGCACGGGCACCGGGGGATCGTCGTACGGCACGAGAGAGGACAGATATGGCTGCTCAACCTCTACATCAGTGGGACGGAGAGTTGTGTACACATGCAGCTGCGAAATGACGTTTAGATAATCACATTAGAACGTGCCAGATAGTAACATGATGGTAAAGGGGAAACAAAGACATGTCGAAATTCTACCTGTACATTCTTGAAAAATGCATCGTATGTACGATGTTGTGGCTGCTTTCGAGTGGACCAACGAAGAATTCGTGGTAGTCGTTCATCGACTCGCTGACCAAAGCGTTCCCCAATCTCCGGAATTGCCTCGAACGCCCAAACCTGTTACAGCAACAGAAACACATTACAATTACAGAGATTATATGCACAATGCGATGGGGAAGCCGTGAACCGTGCATGAAAAATTACAGAGATTATATGCGCAATTACAGAAACACATTCAAATTACAGAGATCATGTGCGTACTTACATGGCGATGGGGAAGCCGTGAACCGTGCATGTAATCTCTTTCTCCTTCCTCCTCTTAGCCTTTTCAAATTTTCTTCCAAATCTGCCCCGGAACCAGTGCAACAATCGTTTATATCCAACTTTACCCCAGGGATAGGAAAAAAAGAAGTCCAGGTCATCCACCATTGATAAAAATGGCAAATGGATACCGACATTATTATCTGGAGCATTGAATACTCC